GAGTTTCAACTAAAATGCTGTTTAGGAACGACCAAATTCAAAGAACTTTTAGCGACATAAATATTTTGCTGAAAAGAAACATTACAACTAAAATATAAACAAATTGAATGTGGCTAAATAGACTGCTGATGACCCCACCGAGAATCGAACCAGCATCAGCTGAGGGGAAAGCAAAAACCAACTCAGACGATTTTACTACTAGACTACCAGAGGCCGTTCAATAGACTGAAGTGCTGTTGTACACCACTTTTATTAGACCAGCTGTAGGCAGATATTCGCTAAAAGAAACCTTTTCATTTCGAGATATATTCAGTCTTTGTCATGTAGCAAGTTATATTTATCTTGTTTATTTGGAGTATAGAACATAGCATTAACGACTGTAAACTAGTAACAGCCGTAATTCATGTGGGTCAGGTCAGTTTGCGATAAAGTTGAAAACAAAAACGGAAGTCAGTGGGCTAGGCTGAGTTTGCGTGAATGGGCGGGGTGCAGCTCCGCCTTTGTGGTTTTGCAGCCAGCACCCTCTCCAAAATAACCACAGTTTTTTCCCTCAGTGTCATTTGATCTATTTCTTGGGAAGATGGATGGATGGATGGATGGAGATATATATATATATATCAATAATTATTTTTAATATAGCCTTTTTCAATACCAAACTTTCAATACCAAACAAAAATGAACTACAATAAAATTACTGGCACACTAAATTCCAATTCTCCTCAATGGGACTTGAACTCGCCAACTGATCTCCCTTACACGACACCAAATGAGGTGCTTTACTTGATTTGGGAGGGGGGAATAAAAGCAGTAAAACAATAAAACTTTGAACATTACAACACAAAGAGAAAATAAATAATGTTACAGCAATTGCAGAATGCCATCTGCGGGATTCGAACCCGCCGCAACGACCAACCAGTAGGTGTCAAACCATGACTAATGAGTGCAAGCCTTGGCGCTCAGGGACACCCATCAGATTGTGAGGCCACAGCACATACGTTTTAGACTGGGTGGGATTCTTATACCCAACAGGAGTCTTCTGCCCGCCTTCTCATTAGAATATGCATAATTTGTGTTTCAGGCACTAGTTAACTAGTGAGCTGCTGCACTGCCACACATGTAAACTGGTGAAATTTCAATTGTTCCACTAGTTAACTAGTGGACAAAAATGGTCAGCTTGTATGTGTTTTTAGATGCAACTAGTTAACTAGTGAGCAAATCCGCACCTCACTAGTTAACTAATGAGGTGCAGATATGCTCACTAGTTAACTAGTGAGGTACTAGTGAGGTGCAGATATGCTCACTAGTTAACTAGTGAGCATATCTGCACCTCACTAGTTAACTAGTGAGCAAATCCGCACCTCACTAGTTAACTAGTGAGCAAATCCGCACCTCACTAGTTAACTAGTGAGCAAATCTGCACCTCACTAGTTAACTAGTGAGCAAATCCGCACCTCACTAGTTAACTAGTGAGCAAATCCGCACCTCACTAGTTAACTAGTGAGCATATCTGCGCCTCACTAGTTAACTAGTAAGCAAATCCGCACGTCACTAGTTAACTAGTGAGCATATCTGCGCCTCACTAGTTAACTAGTGAGCAAATCCGCACCCAACTAGTTAACTAGTTGGCGTTTTGGGGCCCACTAGTTAACTAGTGAGCATATCTGCACCTTACTAGTTAACTAGTGATGCTTTTTTGCACCTTACTAGTTAACTAGTGGGCGCTTAAGGGTGCACTAGTTAACTAGTGAGCAAATCTGCACCTCACTAGTTAACTAGTGAGCATATCCACACCTTACTAGTTAACTTGTGGGCGTTTTGGGGCCCACTAGTGAACTAGTGACACTTATTTTGCACCTCACTAGTTAACTAGTGGACATTTGTACCCTCTCTAGTTAACTAGTGAGCAGTTCCGCCTTCACAAGTTTACATGTAAGTGTCACACTGAAGCCACTACTAGTTTACTAGCTGAGGTTCCTCTGGCCAGCATGTTAACTTGTGTGCCGCATGCAAATGTTTGGGGTGGGATTTTGCAAAATTCCGCACTGTGATTGGTTGTCATATTTTATTTTAACATAGTGAGCCAATAGAAAGCCTCAATTTGAGAAATTCTCTGCCTCCTAATTAGAATTCTGTGCAACTAGCTAGCTAGTGTGAATGTAGGCTTGAACTAGTTTACTAGTATACATTTATGTCCTCACTAGTTAACTAGTTTGGACAATGGATGCATCAACTAGGTAACTAGTGAGCCTGCTACAATCAACTAGCTAGCTAGTGAGTCATTAATGGTTCACTAGTTAACTAGTGGCACTGCCCTACTCCAACTACTTAACTAGTTAGGAGTTTTGCCTTCACTAGTGAACATGTGGACACTTTGAACTGTCACTAGTTAACTAGTGAGACACAAAAACCTTCAACTAGCTGACTGGTATGCATTTTAGCCCTTACTAGTTAACTAGTGAGCCATTTTTGTGTCACCTAGTTAACTAGGAAGCCAAAATGTGTTCACTAGTCAACTAGTGGGCATTTCTTCTGTCACTAGTTAACTGGTGTGCACATTTTGGCCATCACTAGTTAACTAGTGAGACACAAAAACCTTCAACTAGCTGACTGGTATGCATTTTGGCCTTTACTAGTTAACTAGTGAGCCATTTTGTGTCACCTAGTTAACTAGTGAAGCCAAAATGTGTTCACTAGTTAACTAGTGAACATTTCTGTCTCCCACTAGTTAACTGGTGGGCTCATTTTGACCCTGACTAGTTAACTAGTGAGACACAAATACCTTCAACTAGCTGACTGGTATGCATTTTGGCCTTTACTAGTTAACTAATGAGCCATTTTTGTGTCAACTAGTTAACTAGTGAAGGTCAAAATGTGTTCACTAGTTAACTAGCGTGTACAGTTTGACCCTCACTAGTTAACTAGTTGACCTGTTGACAAGATATCAGAATTAATGCTCAAGCGGCTGGCCAAATTGGGCAAAGTTAACAAGTGGGATTTTTACATTCAGTAGTCAACTAGTACGAGTTTTTGTACCTTACTAGTTGACTAGTAAAAACTAAATGTGTTTTAACTAGTTAACTAGTGAACATTGATCTGTCCACTAGTTAACTAGTGAACACACTGAGCAATACTAGTTAACTAGTAAGATATGAAACATTTTAACTAGTTAACTAGAGAGAATTTAGGCCTTACTAGTTAACTAGTTGACATTTAGGCTGTCACTATTTAACTAGTTAACACAAACATGGCTAACTAGTTAACTAGTGGACAGAAATGGCTTACATGTTCATGACAATTCTGGCTGATATCCTGATATCAGAATAAATGCTCATTTGGCTTGCCATATAGGTGGAAACAAGTTTAACATTTGAGTCCTCAACCTGTTTAAAAAAAAGTGCATCAGATTTCGTACAAAGGAAAATGTTTTCTCTCATTTATCAATAACTTCAAATAAACTCATGAGTAATCCTGAGTACTCACTTATCAACTTAGAAAATAAATATGAGAATATCTCAAATTAATGAGTATGGAAAAAAGTACATTCAAGCGCCCTCTTATCAGCAGATTCAAACATAAATCATCTCAATTTATGGGACCACAAAAGTAAACGGAGTACTGACTCTCCTAACAAAGATCAAAAAGTGCATCTCAAACATTTGAGTTCCTGGAATTGATTCTGAACCTTTGTGAATCGATTCTGAATCTTTATAAATAAGAATCCCGATTCAGACTTGAATCGATTTATTTCAGCACCTCTAGTTTCCTGATTAAAGAAAAGTAGTTCTAGTCCCCATTGATGGTGCCAATTGCTGCCAGAGATGATGCAGTTGTGTCAGAAATCTACCTGCAAACTATCTTTATAATGAGAGGCTGGACGCACACGTTGACAACGATTGCTTTGTGGTACCCTCCGTCTGAGTAGAGGCCAGTCATCGTGTTTTCTCTTTGAGAGGACAAAATCTTCTGTACTAATCCAAGCACAGCGTTGTTCTGGAAAGAGGGTGCCGCTTGGATCACAGATGATGCTGCGTGTTGGAGTGGGTGGTTCACACAGTTACATAAAATGTGTGTGTGTGTGTGTGTGTGTGTGTGTGTGTGTGTGTGTGTGTGTGTGTGTGTGTGTGTGTGTGTGTGTGTGTGTGTGTGTGTGTGTGTGTGTGTGTGTGTGTGTGTGTGTGTGTGTGTGTGTGTGTTCATGGTTGTGCTTAGTGGAACAAATGTTCATGTTCTGGAGAAAATACAGATTTTCTAAATCTATTATTAAAATGAGAGCAGATGCCAAACTGTAGGAGGCGGACAGGTGCCATCTTTTAGTGAATTGGTTATATTCGTCAGTTCAAGAGCGATTCGCTTTTTTAGGGTTTCAAAAAGCAAGCTGTTCAATTCCAAGCCTGCCTCGCTCCTCCTGGAGTATCATAGCAGCGCACGAGGATTTGCTTTGATGCTTCAGGATTCAGATCACAAAGCAAACAGTAGGAACAGTAGGACGGACCATGAGGTCACCGGATGGAGGTCTCTTGCCACTGAACACCAACCAAGGGCGTAGAAACCATTTTCATGTTGGGGGGACACATCCATCCTGGTTCCTATGACCTTAACACTAACGGCATGAAGACTGAAACACAAGCGTACCACTGAAACCCAACTCCTACATGCCTTCTGCTGTACGCGTTTACATCTAAGCTGCTGATTTAGCTTTATTTTTGTGTTTAACTATTAAAAAATCTGCTTTCAAAGCATCTGTGTGAGACGGAGCGTGTCCTGACCTTCTAACTCGAACCACAGCTGCTCTCTTTCTGATGAAGAGTCTTCAGATGATTTTATCTGAGATTTTAAATGAAAGCTTTTGTCCATCTGCAGCAGGAACGAGCCTAAAAGCATCATTTAACTGTGGTCCGGTTTAGAGCTGTGCATGACTGACAGGGTCGGAGCTCCTTGGGGAATGCATTCAGGTCTGAACCCCGGTGCTGTAGATGTGTGATGTGTCTTTCCTCCTACAGGAGAACGTTTCCCTGGCAGACCTTCTCTCTTTGCGGGACAGCTGCCTCTGTGAGGAGGAGGTGTGGGCTGTGTGTGCAGAGTGTGTGCTGGCCCTGCAGAGCATCAGACCCTCCCACCTCTTCTACACACTGTGCATCACACCAGACACTCTGGCCTTCAACGCCCATGGAAACGTTAGCTTCATGGAGCCGCTCAGTGGTGAGTCTGTAGCATAAAAACGTTTTTCCTTACTCTGTCTTCTAGCTGGCTGGTTGATGGCTTCTCCTGTCCTGATTCAGCTGCTATGCTGAACGTCTGGAATGTGATGACTGGGAACCAAAGCTTGTTCCAGCAGAGTTTTATTCTATGATTACGCACAGCTGGACTAGAGCCACGTGTCCAAATCCTCCAACTGCAGATTAGCTTTGGGATTAATGAGGAGACACTTTGCTTCATGTTAATTATTGAACCTTGTCCAGGTTCTGTTTGCCCATTCCTTCCCAAATATTCTCTCTTTCATTGGGTCAGTTCAGCTTTTTCATGATGAAGTGGAGGTACCAGGGCCAGTCCTAGAACATTAGGCACCTTAGGCAGCCACCCAGGTCACCTGTGGGATGGTCCACCACTGCATGGTACAAAGAAATTCCTCCCTTTTCCACTTTTAGGGCTCTGAGGACATGATCTAAAGGATGTGGATTTTATTGGAATCACCTCAAATGCCCTTCAGACACCATCATGTCATTAAAACTAGGAATGCTGTGATCAAAACTCCTGAGCCAACACAAACTTGGTTTCTGTTTGACATCCCTCACTCACATATTTATGGAGGGACTCTGGCTTTAACCTGCTAAGGGGCTCTCCAGACATCACACTCTGACCTTTGAGTGAACTTATGGGGAGTTCCTCCTCAGTGGACAGGGTTCCATGTAAATATTCATTCTCTCTGCAGGATGATGGTTCCATACAGTTTGGAAATCACATTTAAGATAATAATCTTAAACATCTACCATTCTAATTCCCTATTGGTTGTACCAATGCGTTCAGGCACAGAGGCGTCTGAAACAGGAAGTCTGGTGTTTCCCACATTAGTCAACAATTACATTATTTTATAACACCTTTGCCATTATGGCTGTAATTATTTAAATTGCATGTTATTTAATAAGCCATAAGACAAAAGATTCCATAGCAAATATGAAATCCACCTTATGGATCTGTGAGGTTATTGTAACCAGAAAATTGGAACTTTTTATTGCAGGGATTATGTAACACTTCGTATTAATTCAGAGACAACAGAAGAGAGAGTCAGGTTTTAAAAGTTTAAAGATTTATTACTAAACAAATTAAAACTAGACTAACTTAAAGGAGCATGGGGCAGGATGAAGAAACAAAACTCATTAGCGACGCACTCGGCGCTGTGAGTAACTGCAGCCCGGCACGAGAGCGCGCACAAACTCTTCACTAGAAAAAAAAAAGTTACAGTGATGTACGGCCAGAGCGCGGCTCGGACAAGGCACCGTGTCGAGCGATGAAGTAAGTAACATTTTTACTTTAGTCTAATATTTGTAAAATTCCATGACAACATTAGCTTTTTAATTTAGCCATGACACTCGTGATGTAAAGCAAGTGCTCCTTCCTATGAAATATTCATAAGCCAGTTTTGTGACAGGTGAGCAAGACAGTAACATGATGCTACTTTATCAGCATAAGGCTTTGTGGCAGCAGGTGATTTCTGAGGTTTTTAGACCAATTACAGTTATTATTTTGCACTAAGCTTACTAACAAGCTAATGTTATTGTTTATGCATCATGTAAGAACATCCAATTTCAAGTCACTGACATCATTTGTGAAACCAATTTCATTACAGGACAGGCATCACAATGTAAATAAGAACATAAATATCAATGTTTAGTTCAAAAATGCATCAAAATAAAATCATAATATCAACAAGACCTACAGGGTAATAGTCATTTTTCCATTACTGTCATTGATTTTCAGGAATTCACATTGGAAGCAGTGATGGAAGACAGTTCAGATGGAGTGTGCCCGAGCCTGCCACAGACTTTGATGTGTCGTGTGAAAGTCTGAGACCAGGTGCTAAAGGAAAGGGGAGAGGAAAAAGTCGCTCCGAGGGTCGGGGAAGGACACGCTCAAGGGGTGAGGGCAGCAGGTTGAGGTCCAGAGCTCCTTCAAGAGGACCAGGGCGCCGGGGTAGGCAGCGAACAGCTTTAAGAGAAGAGGGCCGAGACCGGCTTGCACAGCTGAGAGCTGCCAGTATAGCTGAGATGCAGGTTGGTTGTAGCCATTTGTGTAAAAAAATTAAAATAAAATAATAGATGCCAAAAACGAAAACATCACTCACTGGAGATATGAATCTAGTCATGTAAACATATGCTCTTTAATTTCTAGACAGCTTTACAACACCTGAGCCAGGAGGAGAGAGATTATATTCTCGAGAGAGTGGTGACCCGTCTTCCAGGGGTGATGCTGGATATCCTGGAGTTTCGGCAAGAGACGCCAGGACACCGTCTTCCTGACTGAGGGCACCCTAACCCAAAACTCCAAACCGTTTATCTACAACTACAGTAGTTCCAAAACAGCACAATACCTCAAAATAACTTTAGCTGAAGACAGCATTTTCACCCAAAAATAAACAGTTTGTGCAATATATTTATTTTTATTTATGTACAAAAAAGTTCTGTTATTTGCATTTGTACATAGTATTTTTTCTTAATTTCTAATAAATCTGTGTGCATGAAAGAAGTCATTCCTGTCTTTTGATGCTTCACGTAGCTGGGGCCTTTATGGAGAGAGAACAGCAGCATTAGATCATACATAGATTACATGAGAATGCAGTTCTGGAAACTCTCCAGTTCTGAAGTTGACCTGTAAAAAAACAAAAGCTACAACTTTATAGATTATTAGGAATCACACTTTTGATTGCCTTTTCACCCACAATTGTCATTTCTATATGTAAATTGTCAGCTTTGATATTGACACTTTAGCTTTTCTGCTTATGAAAATGTTATTAATATACCTAAAGGTCAGATTGGTGACATCCTTCAACCAGCGTCTGTTGAACATGATTCGTTGAAGAGCCTCGTGTGGTGGAGATCCTGGAACCATGCCACGTTGCATCAAGTGGTCCATGGTCACATTTGCCACGGGTCCATTCATGCTTCCCTGTGACATGGTGAAGCACACCCACCCACATGTCCTAACAGAAAAAATAAGTTTTATTTGAAAACTTTACATGTGACAGAAGCGCTCACAAACAGAAACACGAGAGCTGGCACTATTATGAAAAGAAAGGTAATTATGTCAATGTGCATTGTTGTCTTGTTGTCCAAAAGATGTCACAATACTTACATTAAACATATCACGATGTTGTGCTTTCTGGCAAATGTACCAAAATTGGTTGACGATGTCCTTCAGCCACACAAGTAGGATGGAAATTCCCTTTAGGATCCCAGCCTGTGAACAAGGATAAAACAACAATTCCATCTTTTAGTTCTTTTTAAAACATAGAAGGGTTTTATTTACCTGCAACGTTTTGTTTGCGGCTGCAAACTTCGTCAGCCTGACAAAGTTTTCATAACAGTTCTATTCTGTTATGAAAACAATAAATAAAAGTAGAATTAATATATTGTTTTAAGACTTTGGAGTTTAAAAAAAGAGTGTAGATAAGAATAGGGCTGGGCAATATGGCCTCAATCTATATTGCGATATAATCTGAAGCATGTGCAGTAACGATATATATTGCGATATATTTTTTCATCTGTTTATAAATGTCAAATTGACATGCTTTTAGATATCCTCATGTGGCAAATATATGCCACTTGAGGCATATAGGCCTCCTCCTCCGCCCACTCCATGCTTGCAGTCACCGCCATTCTGTTGTCCCATTGTCAGCAGGGTGCACATCTTAGTGACGTCATGTGTTATCACAATATCGCCGTATTGCGATATAGCCAAAAACTATCATTACCCAATTTTATATCATTTCTACCTTATATCGTTTATATTGCCCACCCCTAGATAAGAAGACATTGCAACTCACACACTGTTGAGTAAGTTGTTTGCTTGGTCCTCATCAATTTGGACTGCATCCGTAGCTAGATCCATGGATTTGAAACTACAGACAACACAATAATATTTGTTGTACGTAAAGACAAATACTGGAACTCACCTGAAATGGTACTGATTCTAAAGAGATAAATGTGGAGCCTAATACATCTGTCATTAATTATTTCTGCAAATAACAACAATCTGCTGTGAATTGACACTTCACAACATAAATAAATATATAAAATGACCTATATGTGCTTATCTATTGTGTTTTTATATTTTTTGCACAGCAGTAATTTCCTGCGTATATGGCAAGACTTCTCATGAACAAATTTACCTTTCTTCAAAAGGATCCAAATTTAGGTCATCAGCTAAGGCCTCAACACCAGCCATTAGAAAATCTTCCCTGTAAAGATAATGTCAGAAGTGTTTGGTGGTGTGATGTTAGTTCTGAACCAAGTGTGGATATGCAAGGTGTAATTTAATGTATGAAATATCATTGTCATGGCTCGAGGTAAGTGTCTAACCCAAGACATGCAGAATCAGCACACGTAGTCCAAAGCAGTAAAGTAAAATGTCTTTATTATAAAAACGGGAACTGAAACAGCACAGGGAAGTCCTGTGGGATGAGCAATGCGGCTCGAGTCTCTGAGGTGCTCAGGTTAATCAGGAGAGGAGGGGAAGCCGGGGAGGACGCTGGGCAGAGGATGAGAGATCCAGGAGGGTGAGGTAGCAGAGGGAAAGCCAAACAGGAACGGCGGAGGAGGATGGGACGTGATGAGTATGTTCCAGAAAACGAAGACAGCGAGGGTGAGTAGATGATGAGATGATCCTGAGCGAGACAAAAACAGGCGTAAGGGATAATCCAATTCCAAATCCAAAATACAATCCAAGGTCATAAATCCACTAGTCGAAGGCGAGTCAAAACACGAATTAACAAGATCAAAGTTCAGAGTCGAGTGGCTGGTGCTACCTAAACTGGTGCAATCATCCGGCAAAGTGATGTGTCTCCATTCTCCTTTTGAACCCGCGTCCCTGATTGGGAAATCTCCTGCAGCTGCCGCTCCCCCTGCTCTCACCTGTGGAGAATTAAGTTAGAGTCTGGTGAGAGGAGAAGGTGTGACTCACCTCTGCCCAGGAACATGACAGTGCCCCCCCCCCTCAACGGACGCCCCCCGGCGTCCTAGCACCGGATCTGGAGGCCTCGAAGTCCGAGATGAGAGAGGGGTCCTCGATGTTGGACCGGGGAATCCAGGAGCGTTCCTACGGGCCGTACCCCTCCCAGTCCACCAAATATTGAAGACCCCGACCACGGGGTCGAGAGTCGAGGATGCGCCGAACCTTGTATACCAGCCCCCCTTTGTAGAGCTGAGCAGGAGGGGGCGGAGCCGGAACCGGGCACAGAGGGCTGGAAACGACGGGTTTGACCAGGGAAACATGGAACACGGGATGGATCCGAAGAGACGACGGGAGTTCCAACCGCACCGTCGTTGGACTAGGAACCGCCGCGACCTTGAAGGGACCAAGGAACCTAGGAGAGAACTTCCTGGTGGTCGCCTTCAGCGGGACATCTTTGGACGACAGCCAGACCATTTGACCGGGAGAGTAGGTGGGAGCAGGACGACGGTGTTGGTCAGCCAGTCGCTGATTCCTTTCCGCGGTCCGCTGAAGAGCCGACCTCGTGGTGATCCAGGTGCGGCGGGCCCGACGAAGGAACTGAGGAGTGGTGATGGTGGCATCTGTATGAAGGGGGAACAGAGAGGGCTGATATCCGAGGGAGGACTCAAAGGGAGACTGACCTGTGGCGGAGGAGACATGGCTATTATGGGCATACTCGACCCAAGCCAAATGCTCACTCCAGGTGGATGGGTTGGTGGCGCAGACGCAACGAAGCATGGCACCCAACTCTTGGTTCATCCGCTCGCATTGTCCGTTGGTCTGCGGATGAAACCCCGAGGTCAGAGCCACCTGGGCTCCCAAGGCGGTGGCAAACTCCCTCCAGACACGAGACACGAACTGGGGCCCTCGGTCAGAGAGGAGCTCTGTTGGGATCCCATGCAGACGAAAGACATGTTTAATTAAAAGCTGGGCCGTGACGGCAGATGTAGGGAGAGCCTTTAACGGCACCAGATGACAGGCCTTGGAGAACCTGTCCACAACAGTTAAAATGACGCTAAAACCATGCGAAGGTGGCAACCCACAAACAAAGTCCAAGGCAATATGGGACCAAGGACGGGACGGCACTGGTAGGGAACAGAGTAGGCCTGCTGGAGACTGATTGGTACCTTTTTGTTGGGCACAGACGTGGCAGGCCGACACATACTCCTTCACGTCTCTGTAGAGGGAGGGCCACCAGAAAGATCGCCTGATCAGAGCCACAGTACGTCCTACTCCAGGGTGGATTGAGAACCTCCCGGTGTGGGCCCAGTGAATAACCTTTCCTCGTAGTGCCTGGGGAACAAACAGTCTGTTGGAGGGTCCGTTACCTGGGCTAGGGTCCACCTCAAGGGCCTCCAGGACCTGATCTCTTATGGGCCAGGTTACTCCAGTAACGATGCAGGAGGCAGGCAAGATGGTGCTAGGAGCCGTCTCATCTTCAGAGGAGTGCTGGCGAGACAGAGCGTCAGGCTTTGTGTTCTTTGATCCTGGTCTATAGGACAAAACAAAGTTAAAGCGGGAGAAGAACAAAGACCACCTATACTGTCGAGGGTTCAGTCTCTTTGCCTCCTTGAGATAGATCAGGTTTTTATGATCAGTCCAAATGATAAATGGTAATTCAGCCCCCTCCAGCCAATGTCTCCACTCCTCCAAAGCCAGTTTTACTGCCAGTAACTCCCTGTCCCCGACGTCATACCTGCTCTCGGTGGGTGTCAAGCGCCGTGAGAAGAAGGCACACGGATGAAGTTTGTGGTCTTCTGGGGATACTTGAGAGAGGACTGCACCAACCCCGGTGTCAGAGGCGTCCACCTCCACAGTGAACTGCCGCTTGGGGTCTGGTCTGGAGAGGACTGGGGCCTCGGTGAACCTCCTCTTCAGAGTCCTAAATGCAGCTTCGGCTTCTGGAGACCAGGAAAAGGGCTTAACAACAGAGGTTAGAGCTGTCAAAGGGGCTGCGGTTTGGCTAAAATTGCGGATAAACCGTCTGTAAAAGTTTGCAAAGCCAAGAAACCGCTGCAGTTGTTTCCTGGTGGCAGGGGTAGGCCACTCAGTCACTGCTTGGACCTTGTCTGGGTCCGCCCTCAGCCGTCCACTTTCTAAAACAAAACCAAGAAACTTAACTACTGAAACATGAAATTCACATTTCTCGGCTTTTACAAATAGTCTGTTCTCCAACAGCCGTTGGAGTACCATCCGAACATGTTTCTGGTGTTGATCAATGGACCTAGAAAAAATCAAGATATCATCAAGATATACAGATACAAAGTCATTAATGTAGTCCCCCAACACCGAGTTCACGAGTCTCTGAAACACCGCTGGAGCATTAGTGAGGCCAAAGGGCATCACCAAATATTCAAAGTGCCCCAGGGGTGTCTTAAAAGCTGTCTTCCATTCGTCACCTTGGCGGACTCGGACCAGGTGATATGCATTGCGGAGATCCAACCGCGTAAAAACGGTGGCATCTTGCACAGGTTCAAAGGTAGACGAAAGTAGAGGGAGCGGGTACTTGTCCTTCACCGTTATTTGATTTAAACCCCTGTAATCAATACAAGGGCGAAGCGACCCGTCCTTCTTGGCCACGAAGAAAAAACCAGCTCCCAGAGGCGAGGTGGATGGCCTGATTATGCCATTGGCCAAGGCCTCGGTGATGTATTTCCTCATACTGTCCTGTTCAGGTTTGGACAGACTGTAGAGGCGGCTGGTTGGGAGCGGAGCTCCTGGCAACAGGTCGATTCCAATGTCAAATGGACGGTGAGGTGGCAACGTGGCTGCTTGATCTCTACTGAATACTTGCTGTAAGTCATGGTACTCACTTGGTACCTGGGTCAGATCGGGCGGCTCCACAAGAGTCTTTTCAGAGTCCTTAGATCCAGAGGAAGCAGAGGTCAGGCAGGTAAGATGACACTCCGGACTCCAGGTCTCCACACGGCTTGATCTCCAGTCCAAACACGGGTTGTGTACCCTAAGCCAGGAATGGTCTAGAACTACTTGGTTCTGCGGGGAGGGAAACACAAATAATGAGATAATCTCCGTGTGGTTACCTGAGACCTGGAGCTGGAGTGGTTGGGTCCGGTGGGTGATTGTGGCCAGGGGCCTCCCATCCAGGGAGGACACCGTTAAAGGTTCCGGCAGTGGATCAGTAGACAGTCCCCAATCCCGCACCAGTTGCGGGTCCACCAATGACTGTTCACATCCTGAGTCTACTAGAGCAGTTGTCTGGTGGCGACGACTGTTAACAGTCAAAGCACAGTCAATAAGAAAACGTGAGGTTTCTTTACCTGAATGACTGCCCACCAGAACTCCCGGAACTACTGGTGGGCACGCCCTTTTGACGCCGCAGGGCAGGTGTGCACCATGTGTCCTGGTTTCCCACAGTAAAGGCACAAACCTTTACTGTAACGATGTTGGCGCTCCTCCGAAGTAAGGTGGGTACGTCCCACCTGCATGGGCTCCTCGGGTGAGTCCAGAGGAGGAGACCTGTGGGATGGACGATGTGCTGCAGGTGGTGACAAATCCCTGAACGGTGTCTTCTGAAGCTCCCTATGTCTCTTGTCGATAGAGATGCATAATGAGATCAGTCCGTCCAGGGTTGATGGCTCGGGGCAAAGAGCCAGCTGGTTCCTTACCCGATCGTTCAGCGCTTCGATGAATGCTGCTTTAAGGGCATCGTCTCCCCATGATGTCATTGCAGCCAAGGTCCTAAACTCCAGAGACATGTCAGCCACTGACCTTCTTCCCTGCGAGAGGTGCAACAGTCTTTTTCTGATGTCAGTGGTGGTCTCTGAACTGCAAAACGTCAGTTTAAAATCCTCCAGAAAGTCTGGGTAAGAACCAGACAGGAAATTAGGATTTCTGCTCTTAGCCTCCGCCCACCGAAGCGCCTTGCCCCTAAGTAGTCCAACAATAAACGAGATCTTCATTGAGTCAGTAGGAAAAGAC